AAAAAAAAGGAAAAAAAGAAGAAAAGAAGCATAGAAATAAAAAAGAATTGGAGAATAAAGAAAAATTCTCACAAAAACTATTATGGATAGAAAATGTAATAAGTTTATGGGTAGAAAAATAAATGGTTAAACAAGGGTAAATAGTTTTATATTTGTGAGTAACTGTGTCAAAACCCCCATTATTTATGGCATATACCGTGGCCCTCTCAAGTCTCAATCCTATATCTGTATATATCGGCTAAACCGCAACTTGTAGTGTGTTATCACTTCCACCATATACGGAAATGAGTTTTTTTATTTATTGTTTCATTTTATGGAATCATTTAAGCAAGTCATACCACTATAAAAAAGATAATCATCCCATTTTTGGATATACATTCAAAAATTTCAGCTTCATCTGCAATTCCACTTGAGGATATTGTCATAGTTGAAGATATGTACTAGCAAATGTTTTATATATAGTTTATTTTTTAAATTATCAACTTGTCTAAGAGCTGTTTTCTCTCTCTTTATTCTTTTATTTTTTCAAAACGGATTGGCAGATGCAAGATTTGAAGTTTATGTACTCTTATTACAACTTCAAATTAATATACAATAACACCTGAATTCATAGTCAGATTCTTCGACTGGACCAATACATGTATGAACCCGAAGGTTTAGTCTTAAAAACCCGAGCTTTGTTGGGTTCACTTTTTGGTAGGAAAGGCGATCACGGGATGAAATGCCCTACCAATGAATAGATTAGTCTACTAACATCAACAATCTCTTTCTTCATATACGAGACCGTCTACTTATATATTTTAAATGGAATTTCTAATATATGTATATAATCTAGGCACTTATATATCTTAAATGGAATTTCTAATATATGTATATAATCTAGGCAAAAGTTATTGGGTTCACGTGAATCCATATATTACATGTTAGATCCGCTCCTCGGGATAGGTGATGGGTAGGAGGGGAGGCTCTGCAGTACCATTGGTGTTAAAAGAAATTGCCAAATTGAACCAACAAGTTGCCATTTTTTTCGTATACAAACAAATAATGATGATAAAGCTTATGCAATTTGTAGACAAAAAGTCCAGCTACAACTTTCTATGATAATAGATTTTCCTTGAAATTAATAGCAATTGGAAATTAATGATCTTTTAAATTTATAGTAACAAGTTGAGTTCACTGTACATTGTAAGTATCACGAGATTCCTTCATCAATGACTCGGCATATATATGATTTAAAATGGACAATTTGACAAAAAGGAAACTACGTACAAATTAAAGGTTGAGCTTTTAAGGTACTTTAATGATTAAATTTATTATTACAACCTAATGAATTAAATTCTTGAAACTTCTGACTTGCATTATATATTGCAATATGCATGTTAAATAAGGATATATATAGGGAAAAAAACCAAAAGAAAGAACAATAATTCAGTCAAGGGAACATAAGTGGAGATGGGAAATCAAAGCCCGCCATGCTTTTGGGCAAGTTGGGATCTTCTATTTAGCTACAACTTGACATCTATAAGGAGTAAAGTTTAGGGGAGAATCAGCAATGAAATATTAGTGCGATCCTACCAGTACTAACGCACCAGATCCCATTAAAAAAACTTGTTTAAATACTTAAGCATATAGTACTTAAGTCTAGAGCTTTGGAGCAACGGTATGTTAGGTGTTCCAGATTTTCTTACCATATTTGGTTTTCTTATCTCATGAAGGAAAGGACAACATATTTATCATAACTGGATTTTTCTTTTCCTAGAAGGAAAATATAATTCTTACATATTTGGCTAGTCCCTTTTCTTGTAGGAAAAGGTTTTGGACTTCTATAAATTGAGGATCTTTCCTTCTCATTCAGTAGCATCCACAATGTAGTCATATGTGGTTTGAGAGTCGTGTTTAGGGGGGAGAACTTTACGGGACAAGTATTAGTGTGTCACTTGTATTTGCCTCTTCGTGAGGTTGTTCTCTCGATATTTTGTATTATCTTTTTATATAGTGGATTGCTCATATCCGCCGTGGACGTAGGTCAGTTGACCGAACCACGTTAAATGTTTGTGTCTCTTTTGGTATATTTCTCTTTTGTTGTATAATTTATCGTTATTCAAGGTTTGCTTACTAGCTTCCGATGAGACCTGATTATTTTTGGTCCTAACACAGTAAAGTTGTCTCTATATGACCTATAAGTCACGGGTTCAAGCTGTGAAAGCAACCACTAATGTTTGCATTAGGGTAGACTGTCTATATTATCACCTCTTGAGTGGGACCCTAAGTGGACACATGATATGCTTTGCACACCGGACTGCTCCTTTTTTATGGTAATCTAGAGTCTTAGTGATAAATGTGAGGGTCTTCCCCGTAATAGGTGCTAGTGCAATTCTCACATCTACAATCACTTTGATTTTTGATTCACCGGAAATTTCTCATAAAAAAGAAAAGAATAGGAACTTTAAAATTTGCAAAATTAAAAGGTGGCCTTTAAATCAGCCAATGACTTTGTTTTCACTTTTCACTCTTAAAACATTAATCCATTTTTTCAAATACTCTTTAGAATACAATCAAATCAGTTCTTAGTATGTTTAGGTGTTAGGGGTGGCAAATGGGTGGGTCGGATCGGATATGAACGGGTTAAAACGGGTAATTTAGAAAACAGATAAATTATTCGACCCGACCCGTATTTGAGACGGATAAAAACGGGTTTATCCGGCGGATAATATGGATATCCATACTATCCATGATTTCTTAAATATGATCACTTATGAGAGAATTCTCAGTCTTCCAAACTTGAGGAACTCCAATTTGACGCTTTACAAATGTAAAAGTTAAACACATTAGTTATCCATTGGTTATCCACTTGGTTAACCATTTTCTAAGTGGATAATATGGTTCTTTATCCATATTCAACCCGTTTTTAGATGATTCATTATCCCACCCATTTTTTAACGGATAATATGAGTGGATAACCGTTTTCTTTTAACCATTTTGCCACATCTAGGTGTCATTTACAACTTGTGATATCGAAGGTATGTAATATATTCAAGGAAGAGGAGATGAATTTCATTTTCTTCTCACTTAAAAAAGGGGCAAGTACACAGAGAGTCATTCTCAGAGATGTTATTTCGAGATTAGCCAGTGCTTATTTTGTCCTGAAATTTTAAACTTAAAATCATAGCTTCAGGACAATTCGGAAAACTTTTCTCCTGAAAAATTGAACTGAATATAAAAATTCAAGACACACTAACTAATTCTTAAATAGCAACCCTATAACTCAGAATGGCTACCTGGTGTCATTTCCACCTTTAAAATGCCCGAGAAATTTCGTTTAGTTGGTAAAGTTGAGGCCTCTAACAAAAAGGCCATGATTTGTGGACTAGCCCAACTTGAATAGCCAAGAACAGAAACAACTTTGGACCCTTTTCTAATTGAAGAATTAACCCAAATAGTCGTTCATCCAACCGCTTAAATTAAAAATAGTCAGTGAACGTATAATATATGTATAATATATATGTATAATTGTGTATAATTAATGTATAAACTATGTATACGGCTAAAAAAATAATAATGAATATGGATAGCTATTTGTGTAAAGATCCCTTTCAAATTTATGATGACATTAGTGAAAATTGGCTCAGCAATTCTTTCACTTCCAATGAAGATGCAATCCAATCCAATGCTCCCTCCGTTTCAATTTGTTTGAATCTTTTCAAAGTATGAAGATCAAATTAACTAATTTTGGTGTGAATTCGAACATAAATTCTTTAAGGTTTTTTGAAATAAAATTTACATATTTAGAAACAGAAACTCTTTTTCACTTGCCTGTAAGTGTGTGTGATTCTCTCTCTCTGCAAGCACACAAGAAGCGAACCGAGCCTAGCTTAGCAGCCTATACGTTTTCTCGAGCGTTTTAATATGTTATTAGTTAAGTGCAAGCTTTACTGTCATGATCCACTAGATTCAGCTCTTTGTCGCTTAGATTCATAATTTGTTTTTAAGAAAAAGTCCTCTGGTGGGTGCGGTGTATCGACAGCATAGGTTCAACACACCCAATGCCTACTACTCAATTTACACATATTATTGAACAGTTTTAAAACTCTATATGTCTCTCTCTGTGAATAATTCTAGCCACAGAAATAAAATATGTATTTTAGGGGATAACTATGGTCCAAAATATGTATTAACTTAAGAAATTTATTGAATACGTACAAACTATTAATTTAAAATTCAGTAACTTAAAAGAATTAGAATCTCCAAACTGTAAGCTTAAGCTTCATATCGTGGCTCTGTCTCTGCATCACGGCTCTTTGAACTCATCCATCGCCCTTAGTTCCTCGCGTAAAAAGCTTGTATCGATTATTACCTTGAAGCACCAGCATTCAATATCCTTTGTCCACTCATACAAACTCTCAAATATCTCTAGGAAAAGATTAGTTGGTGCAATATTCTGTCACTAATCAAGACCTTTTCTTTCTGACGAGACAATTAGGCATTAGGAACATTACAAATCAATTTGAATTGCTGAAACTCTACTTCCAACTTTCAATGCTACAATATATATATATATATATATATATATATATATATATATATATATGAAACAATTACACAGTTTCATCCACTAGATAAACAACATGAGACTCTCATATGAAAACCACGGTACTAAAATTTGGTTCATTTTTCATTGTTTATAATCGCATATACAATATAATTGTGTGATAAACCTACATCAAAGATCACACATATTACCTCAGTACAGTACTGCCAACTAGCCAGAGTCCATACAGGGCCAGCAGGGGCGGAGTCAGCCCTTCAGCTGCGGGTTTGGCCGAACCCACTAAATTTAGTCCAAATCTTATATTTGTCGTTAAAAATTCATTAAATATGTAAAAATTATTAAATTAGAACCTAGTAACTTTAAAAAACTAAAATCCTGAACGGAAGAGCACCATGAAAATCACAATTCAACCTTAGAACTCAAAGTTAACCACTACTGAGTATTTTGAAGAAAAGAAACTAACGTCACACAGCTATAACAACATACTAGTACATGACAATTACAGAAAGATGATTTTCTCTTTTATTATCATCATGAGAACATCAACACCTTTGCGAATGTTAGCAAACTAACTACTCAATGTTACAACTGTACAGCAGAAATTTTGTTTGATTCAAGCGCAGCTGAATTCTCTGATCCAAAAACTTATCAAGAATCAGCTATCTTTTGGCAGAAAGGCAAGGGACAACCACAGTTTCCTCAAAAAGGGAAAAACAAAAAAACAAAAGAGTATCTTCTGAAGTTGTCCTATTCTTTCTCCTTTTCCTAGAACAAGGAAAAAGACTTTGTAGAACTAGCATGGTAAACATTCAAAAACTTTGACAATTGCATAAATCCAGCAATCAACCAAGAGTACTAAATCCATCGTATCAAAGCGGCAGAACATCATCCTGAGCCTGCGCGCAAGGCCTACCAATTACCAAACTACCAAAATTTTATTAGAAATCAAGGAAACCCAAGTCATCCAAGCTGAAGTTGAAGTCTTCCTGCCGTCCTGGCTTTAAGAAATCAAAATTATACTCATCAACTATAGGTGCTTGCTGCTGCATTTGCTGCAAATCTTCAAATGTTTTACCATCTGTATTTTGCAACTGACATGACGGATTGGAGAACTGGTTGTTGTCATAGGCAGCGCTCTGCAGTCGATACGAAGGATCATAGGCATACTGATCTTGATCAAGAGGAACAGAACCAGAAACTTGGTTGGGAGCCAGAGCGTCCAGTGGAGTCGAATCTAACACGCCTAATAGCTCATCTACATCGAACATCTCATCATCAAAACAGAAGTTGTCAAGATTATTATCTTGTCCACTCTTCATTGAATCGTAATCAAAAGCGATAGGCTCTTCTTTAATTTCAACAATCCCGCTATTATCCAACACCCCCTTAGCCTCGTCTTTAGCTTCCTCTTTTATTGAGCTTGAAGGTGTTCCAGCTTCATAAAAAACACTCCTCGTTCCATCGCTTCTCGATTCACTTTCGCGGTCTTCAAATTTAATCTTAGGAATGTTGGTCTCAGTGAGACTTGAGGCTGTTGTAGAATCGGATTGAGATATCGTAGGCAACGAGGAATCATCCTTCGGAAGATTAAGCCTAGCACAAGGACCATACATTGCTCTAGCAGCTTCATCATAAGCAAGAGCAGCCTCAATTGCAGTATCAAAAGTACCTAACCAAAGCCTTCTCCCTCTATGCGGTTCCCGAATCTCAGCAACCCATTTACCCCATGTCCTTTGCCTAACACCTCTGTATTTACATCGCCCGTTTTCGGGTCCTCCTTTACCTTTCATACACCCCTTCTTTGATCCTTTAGCGGGAACTTTGCGCACCGGCTTTTTCCCATCATCACTAGACTCTAGTTTTTCATTGACCTCTTTCCACTTTGCTAGTGTTTCTGCTACATTCTTTGGTGCATCTTTTCTACTCCTTGATTTCCTCTTTCTTGTATAATCCAATGGTAAAGACATCATATTTGAAGCTTGATCAAGTATAGCCATATCTCTGTTGCTGTAAATAAAAAAGAATATAATATTCAGATATGATACTATTTATAGATAAGGTAAGCACACACCAGCAGAAACCTTAGCGAGCAAGTAAAAACACCTCCTTTTAATAAAAATATTTTCCTCCCTCTGCAAGAAACCCAAAAATAAAAATAACACCCTTTCTTCGCGAGCAAGAAAACCAGTCGCTCTCGGCCAAAAACAAAAAATTTGCACAATTACAGATTCAACATGGAAAATCAAACAACAGTCCAAAATTACACCAATTTATTTTAACCCTATTCAGCAATATTATCTTTCTATCAACTCTTAGAGACAATCCACAAACACTCACAAACCACAATTTCAGCAAAACTTTGAACATGAAACAGGGGCGGATGCAGACTTAAATATACGAGTTCAGCAAAACCCAAAAATTTTGCAAAAAATTCACTAAATTTGTTAAAAAAAAAAACGTAAATTGTCAATTATTAGCACATGATGTCGTTTTAGTCCTAAAATCCTAAATCCGCCTCTAACACGAAGAACATAATAACCAAATATGACAAATTGTGATTTGATACAGTACATATAAAGGATAAAAATCAACTTACCTTGCAATATTATCAGAAAACTGCACCAAATTCACCTTCTTTTGAACAATCGATAAATGCGTTCGCTTCACAAAACCTTTGTTTTTTTACTTTTCTTCTGCTTTATATGGAAATTAAACAGAATTGGGAAACAGATCGGAATAGTTTGGTTTGATTTAATACTATTTCGAGTGTGATTTTTTCTTGGACAAGTTTCTTACACGAAGAGAATCAGAAAACCAAGGGAGAGGGGATTCTAAAGGAGTATTTATAGACTTCACCAGATATTTTTAAATTCAGTTTTTAAAATTAATTTTAAAATAGTGTTTGTAAATGTGGTGACGTGACAGGATTTTGATTAAGTCGTGGCTCTTTGACTCCCGCGGGATATGACACGTGTCAGTAGAAAGTTCACGAACCTCTCGTTTCCACTTTTCTTTGTGCTGAAGAAATCCTGTTTTGCTTCATATAATTGACCTACATGTTGATATATATTTCAATTGTGCCATTGGGTTCGAGATTGATCTGATTTTTTCACCTCGGGGGTTTCGGAGACTGCTGCCAACTTCCAGGAGACCACCATTACAAGTTGACAAAAGTTAGTGGCTAATTATATGACATATTTAAGGCATGTTTGTCACAGATATTATTAGTTGTGTAAGATTAAAAGAGGGAAAATGATATTGCATAGAAGCTTTTAAAATAATAGCAGAATATATATATATA